AATAAATCACGGTTGGATACAGCAGAATTACAAATAAATAAAACTAAACCTGAAAGTTATTTACAGTGTATGTATACACTAGTGTTGTTGTTGTTGTTGTTTTTTTTTGTTTGTTTTTTTTAATTAAAACCAAATAAATTAATTTAAAATTAAGAGAAATAAAACCAATATAAAGTTAATGGAGTTGACTCCCATCTTGTATTAAAAGAGGAATATTTTCTTTTGATTTCCAATGGTTTTCTAAGAGTTGGGTAAAAAAACTTTTAAAACTCTGAGGCCATAAAGTCTCAGATTAGAGATCACTGTCCAAATCTAAATTAAAAATTGCTAGAATACTACACTTGCAAACTTCCTCTTACACCTATTTTCACTTCTATTAACACTAAGATGATGGAAATGTACCCAAGTAGCCTCTCTCATAACCAACAAAACAACACGAGTATAAAAATTACTTTTTTGAGTTTATAGGTTTCAAATTTCATTTGGATAACTCCCAGAACCTCCAGGTAAATATCAAAGTTCTTTTTAATTTAAATTAAAAGTTTATATATTCTTTTTTACTTTTTCTATGACATTTCTAACTGTAGCTGTTATCGTCAACTGTTCAAACTGCAAAGACACAAATTTAATGTTTTGTGAACTTGTGGATCATAATAGAATGAAACCTCTTTAAGGTTTCTTTTGAAATAAAGGAATCAAAACTTAGATAATATAAAACTTGGAACTATAATGTAAATTTTAATGCTGATTTCATTGACAAACATTGATCACAAAATAGCTTAATTAAATTTTAAGAGTAACTAAGTAAAATATTGTGACATGTGCAGAAAAAGGTCACCATAAGAAAGGAGTTAACACCCAATCAAAAGGGTGTCTGTATTGCTGATTTAACTGTTTTCTACCAGCAAAGTGCAAGCTTAAGCTACGGACAGTATATCTTGTGTGATCCAACAATATTATATTTTGTTTTTCAAGTATGTGTACAACTTATTTCAAACAACAGTGTTTCTTTATCATTCTGCTTATAGTATTATACATATATTTTTTACTTCTATATTCCATAAATACAATAAGTTTGTTTGTTTTGAATTTTGCACAAAGCTACACGAGGGCTATCTGCGCTAGCCATCCCTAATTTAGCAGTGTAAGACTAGAAGGAAGGCAGGTAGTCATCACCACCCACCGCCAACTCTTGGGCTATTCTTTTACCAATGAATAGTGGGATTGACCATCACATTATAACCCCACGGCTGAAAGGGCAAGCATGTTTGTTGTGACGGGGATTCGAACCCGCGACCCTCAGAGTCGAGCGCCCTAACCACCTGGCCATGCCGGGCAATACAATAAGTAACTAGCTGATTTAAATACATAACTTTTGACAAGAGAATGAATGATACCTACATTTCTGTATCTAACATCTTTTTTATTTTTATTTTTACAAATGCTCAATAACATAATAATATTCTCTTAGTCATTGTAAAAAAAAAACAAATGTTTATCCACCATCATTACTCTCAACTTATCAATAAAACCTACTAAAGTTTTACATAAGCCAACAACAAATAATGTTCCTACCAGGTTAGGAATACATCTGATTTTAGGTTTGTCCACTTTTTTCCGTGTAATACCTGATCTCAAAGCTGTTCAGATTCCATGAAATTTCATAAAATGTCTTGTTTGATTATCACTGATTTTCTAAGGATTATGGTCTACAATTGATTATAATATCTTATACAATACTTAAGCCAGTCCCATAATGTTTAGTTGGGTTGAGATACTGGGATTTTGCTGACCAAGGAAGATGACTGAAGTCACTGTCATACTCTGTTATATCTGTTTCAGCAACATGATTATGGTGGGTTGCTGGAATATTGTCTTGGAAAAAAACTCTTGTGTATCAGGGTGAGAATGCAACATTGTAGGGTGGACATGATATGCAACAAGTACACTCTTGATATTATATACTCTTCTAACAAAATCAAAGGACACAAACCCCAACATAACAATGATCCCCACACAATTACACCTCCTACAGCAAATTGCACTGACAGGGCCAAAAGCCTCATGGTTTTCTTTTTTTCCCTTCTGTTATGCTCTAACTAACAACTGTGCATCATGACAATAACTCTACAGCTTAATTTCCATTTCAAAAGGCTCCATTCTAAGCTTGTCATATCCAAAGCATACTAATGCTTCTTGATGCTTTTCATAATCCAACTAATGTACAAAGAGGCAGTTTATCTGTGCCCATTTGTACAGTCAAATCACACAGAAATCTATAGGCACTGCATCTGGACACTTGATTGATACATCTTTGTATGGAAAAATATTAATACATGTTTCCTTCACCAGCTGCTTGAGATATGGGACAGTTGAATGAGAGACATGACTGGAAGCCTAATATTGATTTACCCATACCCTGTTGGTGTGTTTTTCCAGGTGGAAACCCCTTCTAAATTATATTTTTTACTGTTGCCTGGGGATGACTTTTTGCCACTGATTATTTTGTCCATTGGTTTTTCAGCTGTTACAAAATGCCACACTGTTGACCACAGCTGTGGCATGACTTGTTGCATGTCACTTTCTGGATGGTCTTGGTTTCCTAAATTGATCCATATTCCTTTGTTTTTCAGTCAGTGCCACTAAAAACAAAATATATTTCAATCTTCAAAATTTTAAATCCCAGACCTGAACACACCTTTATGAATATCTTGTATTGGAAAGGGCTGTTACATACCATTCCAAAAAATAACCTATTTTTGATGGCATCACACCACTTACAGAATGCCATTTATTATCTAAATGTAGTTTGATACCTTCCATTCCATCTCAACTTTGTGTCAACTATGGTTGTCACGTAGCTTTCTGATTTGCATATTCAAAATTGTTTTAATTTCATATGTTCAACCCTGTAGATGCTGCTCATGCAATAATATCCACAAGGAACTTTATTCACACCATTAATGATTGTTAATACCTGGAAATTCCAATTTTTGAGGCTGGATTTTGTATTTTTAAATAAGTTCCACATTCAAAATTATTAATGTGCTCCTTGACTATTCCAAAGAGTATCATCATCCTATTCCCCTTGCATATGGTTAAGGTCTTCCTCAGGATGTGACTCATTGCATTATTCTACCAGTTTCAATGTCTAAAGTTATTATTCTGATTGACCATTCGTCTCTGTACATCATCTCTATTTAGATTCATTAGCTGTTCACAGGACATTACAACCCCATGGTCCTTTAGACACTGTCAGACTTGAGATGTGACCCATTGTAATATTCCATCACTGGTAGTGTGTGGAGTTATTATTCTGATTTTACCCATTCAAGCCATCTCAAAACTTTTATTATTATGATTGACCTTTCGTCCCTGGACATCATCCCTATTTGGATGGATTAACTGTCCACAGGCTATTACAGCTCCATGGTTCTTTAAGTGCCACCTGTTTTGAGTAAGTAGATCTTTGGACAATTCTTATTACCCATTGTAACCAGATCCGTCTATGGTTAGTGCTTTTTTTCTCACTTCTTTTCTGTCTGATCGTTTCTTGAATGTTTTTTTTTTATCTAATTTATTAATTGTATTTTAGCTGAAAAGCATAATTCAAAGTATTACTTCTGAGAGATGTCACATGCTACAGTAAACCCCACTGGACACACAAATGAAAATGGTACAGAAAATAGGATAAACATACCTTATTGACATTCCCTTTAATGGATTAACTAAATGCCCATTTAGTATTAATATATTTGAATTTAGTTCAATGCAGATAATGTTGATATTTTGTTTTCAACTGTTTCATCAAAGAAGGAAAAGGAAGTATTTGTAAATTATTCATCAGCTCCTACATATTAAAATTAAATATTCCTATAGCACAAAATTTGGTTGTAAATATGTGTAGAAAATATAGAAAAAATTAGTTTTACCTGCTACATGAAGTGTCATCCATTGCTGAAATATATAATGAAAAAAAAATTAAGAAACTTAATTTTGGCATAAGAGTTATGTGTAAAAAGTTTTTGGTTTGTTTGGAAGTTCATGCATAGCTACATGAGGGCTATCTGTGCTAACCATCCCTATTTAAGTAGTGAAAGACTAGAGGGAAGGCAGGTAGTCATCACCGCCCACTGCCAACTCTTAGGCTACTCTTTTACCAATGAATAGTGAGATTGACCATCACATTATAACATCCCCACGGCTGAAAGGGCGATCATGTTTGGTGGGATGGGAATTTGAACCTGCGACACGCAGCTTGCAGGTCAAGTGCCTTAACCATCTGGCCATGCCAGGCAGCATGTGTAAGAAGAGCCAAAAAATTCTGATCAGAGATTTAAATATGACTGATAATTAGCACATCAGTTATATGACTGATAATTAGCACATTAGTTTGAATTGTTTAAAGAGTCTACATTTTAGAAATGTTTTTAATTGTGTATAAATGTTAACGTTGTTTGTTATTTATTTATTTATTCTTTTGTAATCTATTCAACTAGAAAGTAAATGATTCAGCTTCTAATTTTTTTTTTATTTATTTATGTTCAATCAAAGTGACTGAATATAAATGTGAGATTTATTTATTTCAACCACTGTATATTATTAGAGCTTTCATTCGTGATATAACATCAGTTTGGTTAATCAACTAAAAAGTTTTCTTTGGAGCAGTGGTAAAAAAAACAGAAATATTTGAAGAATATGTCAATTAATAATGATATAAAGAGAAGCTTCAAATTCTTCTCTCTCTCTCAACTTTAGATTGCTATTAAAAGTGAAATGTGTGAAAATTGATTAAAGTTATAAATATTAATTCATTTGAGATGCAGAACGTTTTTAAAGAACCAAAAAAAAAACATGGAACTTAATATTTCATAAGTGTGTGCAAAAGATTTATTTCTATAACATAAAAATCGGTTTGTAAGAAACTATATAGTTAGTACAAGGATAGTCAACTTACATTTTCCCCAATTTTTACCATGTAAAAATTATCTATTTTTTCAGATTTGTATTATTTCATCTTTGCTCCAACTCTTTGTTATGAGTTAAACTTTCCTCGGTCAGCCCGAATTAGGAAGCGCTTTTTGCTGAAGAGAATTATAGAAATGGTAGGTTCTCATTTTCCTTTTTCGTTGTAGAGTATGTCCTAATAATTAATTCTGATTCTTCAAAATAATATGAATTTTTTTTTTAAATGGTATAAGGCCATTATTTATTTTTTTACAAAAGAGAAACAGAAATAAGATATGATATGTGTTATCAAGAAGGTTTTGTGATAGTATGCCTCTAACCTGTTCCATTTCATCTGGCATGTGAAATCAATGATGTACTGCTGAATATTTGTAAAGGTCAACAGTTTCCTCAGACACTTACTTGGAGTCAGGATTCTACGGAGAAAGGAGCTTGCAGTAAGGAATGTCAGCTGAATACAGTTTAAGTGGTATGAGTACCTGAGACCTTTCATCCTAACTAATCTTACTGTGGGTCATCTTCTTAGAAGATGGAAGGCCATTGACTGTACACATATGGATTATGGGAACTCTTCATTTAATGTAAAATTTGGAATGTGTTTCCGAGTACATCTGATATTAAGTCCCTCATCCAGAACTTTATGGGTTCACAACTTTGTATAAGGAACTTCAAGCTGCTGGATCATTAGCCACTAAGCACACACACGAATACAAGGTATTAGTTCTTATGGTGCCCTGAGTACTGAACTTGGGTCAAGAGCAATAGAACATCTTCATGTAAAGTAATAAATTGTTGTGCTTATTGCTTGCCTTCGTTGAATGTGTATCAGGATATGATGTTAATCTGAGATTCATAAAGGGTTATGGTGGCATGGTTGAAGTTTTAACCTATTTTATTTTGGATGTTGTCCACTACTGGTAGATAAGGGAGCATATCTTGTAATATGTGAAATTCTGTACTGTTTTCCCTGATGAACAACATCTTTGGAGAAGAATCCTCTCTTTCAGCATGATAATGAAGTACTCTATGCTAAACACTACTCCTGCAATGGTTTGAGATAACATCCAGAATCTATCTTGGGTAAACCATAGCTCTAGCCTGGATCTGGTTTAACCATTCTGGATTCTTTTGAAATCCCACCTGATGGGGTAGATAATAATGTTTCACTGCACTTGGAGTTGCTGTTTTAGAAAACTTGTATCCTGTTTCAACAGTTATATACACACTTATTTGTTACAAGTGTTAGCAACAGAGTTGAGGATATAATTATTGTCATAGGTGGTTCCATTCTCTATTAATACGAAGCTAAGGGGGATCAAGTACATACTCCCCTTTCTAATGATACATTGCTATTTGATAGTTAATGTAACTTGTAAGTACAGCAATGGTAAATGGTGTGCCCATTTTTAAAATTACTATTTGTTACTCATGATCACAGAGATGTAGACAGAAGACATGATGAAGCAGCATTTGTCATGAACATCTATTAAGCATGGTGAAGCAGCATCTGTCATGAACATCTATTAAGCATGGTGAAGCAGCATCTGTCATGAACATCTATTAAGCATGGTGAAGAACCTTCAAAAAAACTACCAATGTTTTTGGCTTACATGTCTTTCTGGGCAAATGTTATATATTCTAAACACATGGTAATGTTTCGTTATTGCTTAACAATTACTCATCAGAATTGTAAAAATATTTCCAAGTTTGATTTTACTTCTTTTGTTTTGATAGTTTTTACAGAAGTTTCTGTAAACAGGTCTCATTTCCTAGTTATATGGTAAACAAATAGAATAAGTATTCACAAAAATATGTGTAAACTAGTCATTTGAATAAAGAAGTGAGCATGAAACCAATTAAACACTTCAAAGTTTGGATATTATGGTCATCCTTGAAGGGTAATGACTCTTTATCTTGAATTTTATATCAAGCAAGTTAGGATTTTCATAGTGCTTGCTGTAGAATGGTGAAAATTAAAAGGTTTTTCACGTGTGCTACTTGTATTAAGATCATTGCACACTGCCTGTAGTGCACGTGTGCTGCTTGTATTAAGATCATTGCACACTGCCTGTAGTGTACGTGTACTACTTGTATTAAGATCATTGCACACTGCCTGTAGTGCACGTGTGCTACTTGTATTAAGATCATTGCACACTGCCTGTAGTGTACGTGTACTACTTGTATTAAGATCATTTCACACTGCCTGTAGTGCACGTGAAGTACTGTGGTATTCAGATCCTTACATATTGCCTGCAGTGCACCATATTTTGGTGAAACCCCACCAGAAAGCTTTAATAGGTGTGCATCATTTTCCATCAAGAACCAAATGTTTAAATTCATTTCTTTTAGGACTGAAAGAATACATTTAGCAAATGTTTGCAAATGTGTTCTCAAAGTTTTTTTATGTATCACACCTCCTTGGCATCCAGAATTCCCAACTTCAGTTTATGAGCAACACAGTGGGTAACAAGAACTTTGTTTTCTACTGCTTCATGGATCTTTTGGGCAACACCATTTTTGGCACTTGCGTTAACAGCTGCACCATCCATATTAACACCAGTTAACTTGGGCTTGCATTAATTCATGTCATCAATTTCACATTTTAAAATGCTTGACCTAATTGCCGAAAGCACACCTTCTGAATTGAAACTTTCTCAAATCAAACAAAAATTACAACTGGTTCTGAAGTTTTTTTAAAGAACAAACCTTCTTAAAATACCTTCCAAATCTTTAGCTGAAGAGTCTGTGCTTGAATCAGACATGATCAAAATGAACCTTATAAATTTTATGTTTATTAGCTTCATTTAATAAGATGGTGGATATTGCTTTGATAAAATTAGTAGAAGTATCCCTGCCTATGTTTTCACTTCTGAGATTCATCCTAATTTTTATTTGGATATCACACAAAAACTGAAAGTCTGAAAATGGTCTGTAGAGGCAGTATTAATTATTTTTATATAGCCAGACTTCAAATACTTCGACTTGAGAAAACTATATTTCATGGTATGCTTTAATAGGAAGGAGGTTCTTCATGAGTAGTTAATGCTATACAATTTTTCCAGTAAATAAGTCTGAGGTACAATCTGCCAAGTGTGAGAACAATTGACATCTTTTACAGACAGCAGTGTTACCAGGTGAATTACCTAAATTAGCATTAAGTTGGAGTCAGAGAAATCTGTTAGAAAGTTAGACTGAATTTCTTGTTTTTGTGAATTTAGTACTCTTTGTCATTTTCAGATTTTTTTTTCTTTTTTGTGTCATTTTCATTTGTATCATTCATGTGCCCCATTTTTACAGTGTTCTTAAAAGTGGAAATACTCTTGAACACAAAACTACCCCCTGTTTAGGATTAAGAAAATATTTATAGGTGTCTAAGTATGAGTATTTTAATTGGTTGCTGGAAGAGCTACAAACACCATTTAAAAGGCAATAAGAATATAATCAAGATTATTTTTTTTTTTTATCAGCATCTTGACATCAGTATTAGATTCAAGCCAAAACTAGATTAATTACAATTTATAATCTTTTTTTTATCTATCATAAAAAAATTTCACTTGCTCAGTAGACTAGAATTCTATATTTGTCCAATGATTTTGCCAAGCTGGTCAGACAAGTTTGTAACATGATTAAAAAAATAAAAACTTGCAGAATTAACCAATTATAGTTTTATTTTAAACCAGTGATCATTATTTTTCAACTTTTCAATACTGAAGAAAACTTGTTGGTTTTCGTAACAAGATATGATTGATTAAATTGTTAATTTTCAACTTAGCTGTGACTGCCAGTAATAAAGTATTGTTCTTGTTTTCCACAAACTCTTAATAAAAGTTTGCATGAAGATAATTATATTTGTTAACAACTGTTTTTACAAATTATCTCAGTTTTTTTTTTCTTCCTTTGCATTAGCTTTTCCTGATTCAGTTAATACTAGGCCTTGTTCAACAGTGGATGGTACCAACAATTAACAATTCTTTCAAACCTCTTAAGGTATGAGTTGTTATTAAGTTTATCAGGAATATTCACAACAGTTTCCTTTCATTGTGCCTGTATTTTTTTAAACACAGTGATTTGTACAATGCTTTATCAACTGATTAAGAAGGAAAGACAAGAATTGTATCAAATTAATGAAAGTTTTTGAGCTGGCTAGCAAATTATTTGTGTATTTTGTAAACTAAACTTGTTTTTGTTAACCTTTTAGCAATATAGGGTGTGACAAGATAAAAACTGATTGTACTTGAAAAAGACTTAAGTTGTTACTACAAAACCTTTAAATTACAAAAAATGGAATACTTTATAGATTGTAAGTGCATTGTGCAACTTGCGTATACTGTTTGATCAAACATCACAGTTATTTATACAGATTTCTTCAATACATTGTGATCAAATATACTAACAGAACTAGTTCTGGAACTTTTATATATAGATGTTTAGTTAGGCCTACTACAGTGTAATTATCTGTCATAATGTAATGTGTTTGTGTGAACATGAACAATGCAGGTTATGCTTCATAAGGGAATGTACATATACACATTAAGCTGAGTTTTTCATCCTTTTTATTGAATTCAAAAGCTAAGTGATTTTTTTTTCGTAGACTTTTATGTACATATTTACAACATTACTCTGTTACAATAGATTTTAATTATTCCTGACCAAGTTTTAAACTAGTGGTTGTGTGTCTTTGCAAAAACAACATTAACAGACAGAAAATTGTTAAAGTCTTTTCTTTCTTGATTGTTATATCATCTTGAGTTTTCTCATTATTTCTTACTTTTTGTCTTATTGAGTATTTAAAACCATTTTTAAAAGTTATTCTTCAAACATATTCTGTCTTCTGTTGTGTGTTATGTTAAAATAGTTTGGAGTCTTACTACTTGTTACAGTCCATAACTTAACATGTGGTCATGCTCTGTCTGATGACTGTTTATCTTGACTAGGTCACAGTTCCTATTGTAAAAGAAAGTCATGTTCAAAGCATACACTTTTTCCCTGCAATATAACCATAATCCATCTAGTATATGAGAATGACTGTTTCCCAATTCTGGTTTCAACAGTGCAATTGTACATAAGTCTATAGGTTTCCCATGAGCAACTTTAACAATTTCTTCATATAGAATAGCAGGAATGCCCATTTCATTCTCCAGCTTCTTGAGGTGTATGGTTATTAAAGGTGGTATTATTGGAATTCATATCTTGGTGAACCCATATTCTGTTGGCCTTCTTTTGGTACAAAGCCAGTATTTCTGTGTAGAACAAAGGGTCCAGAACATTGGTCTGATATTAAGCAAAATTCACTAAAAAAACTTCACAACATGCTGTGTTCCACTTTTGGAAATGTTTTTCACCCATTAACCTGTAGAAAATGACAAAAGATTTATTACAGTTATCAAATTACATACACATACCCATTGTCAAGTATCACCACATGCTGCCATTTTTACTATTTAGGTTCTGTTCATACGTTTTTCTACAGTTGGTTTGCCTTTCTTCTGTATGTCGTGAAAGCAACCTGTGTATGCCTGACTTGTGTCATTTTTCCAGACTAAAATCCATTTTGATTGTATTGTGTACTGATGTCTGAGGCATATGGACGGCTTTTGCCACTGACCTTTGTGGATTCTCATCTATCACATGACACCACACTTTGTTTCCCACTGTTGGGGTATGACTAGTTGCAGGTCTTTTTTCTGAATGGTTCTGATGCCCCAAGTTGATCAATATTACTTTTTATTATAATGCCATTAAGTATGGGATATCTTTGTTTTTAAAATTCTAAATGCCCAATTTAAGTACATCTTTATGAACTGAGTGTATGAACATCTTATATTCAAAAGGGCTGTTACATATCCTTCCTGAAAGCAATCAATTTTGGTGGCATAACCTAACTACAAAACACCAAATAATGTAAAAATGTAGTTCTGATACATAGCATTCCACCATGACTTTATATCAGCTGTGATTATCACGTGACTGCTGATTTGTATTCAGAATTGTTTCAATAAAATGTACTCATCCCTATGTAAAGTCCTTTATTTGTTTAATTGGTGAATTCTGTTTCAATGTTAGTTACTTACTAAGAAACTACTTTTGCAAACAATCTGAAAATATGGTAATCTTGAAAAACATATACTTGGAAGTAAGAAAAAGTTTATTATTACAAAATGTGATGACAAAAATATTAAAATTATGAAGTTATTTCGTGTATGTAAAATTTTGTGTATTAAAAAATCACATGTATCAATAAAATTCTTTTAACAGGAAATGAATTATTCTTTGATGTTGGAAAGACTGCTCAAACTTTCTGTAAGTTCTTTGGTTGTTGTTACTGCTTAATTGAATACAGTATAATATTTCTGAACATTTATATTTTTCAATCTTTAAATACAGAAGGAGTAGAAAGATATAGTTTCATTAAACTTTAAAATATTAATTTAAAAATAAAAATGTAAAATACCTAAGACAAAAAAATATCACTTTTGACAGACTTGGAACCTAAAGAATTAAATATATGAACTAATTGGAAATTCATATTTGTTTACGTACATGTAATTCTCATTATAATACCTCCAGTGGCTCTGCTGTAAGTCTGAGGGCTTATAACACTAAAAATTGGGTTTCAATACTCATGGTGGGCACAGCATTGATAGCCTGGTTTGCTGCTTTGACTTAACAGCAAACTCATTATAATGAAGTTTAAAACCAGTATAAAAATACATGTATAATGTTTTTGTAAGTCTTAAAATTACACTTGGCTTATTAATAATGGCTGGAGACGAACTTCGAACTTGGCTTATTATTGAATATGCAAGATATATTGAAGTTAAGAATATTTTTGTAACTAAAATATTAAACCTCAATGAATTTTTTCAAGTTTGTTATATACTTCAGTTTATAATTTGATGTTCAGACACTGCCATTAATCTACTTCTTCCTGCAAGCAGCCAGAGTTCTAAAGTTGATTCTACCCAAATTAGCTGTATGTCAGTTACTCCACATTTATTCCAGTTTGGTCCTCCATCATTTGGAAGACACACAAATAAAAACTTAGGTTTGAAACATTGTTTAATAAATCACATTATAGAGCAACATCTTTCTAGCATGACCATTTACTTGTAACTATTTGGTATGGGGATTCTTCTCTTTCAATTTTTATTCTAAATTCAAAGCTTTTTTTACAAAAACATTATATTCATTCCTAAAATATTCTCTGGGTTATTCTGGTAATCAATTTTGGCATAAAAGATGATATTATCTGCAGTTTTCGTTTGTAGAGTTTTTAAGAGATTTGTATTTAGTAACATGCATTGTTTATTAGAATTTTTAATGTGTTAAGGTTTTATTTAAGAATAAAAATTTACCATTATAATTAGTGTTCTTTATGAACATGCATGATAATATAAATACATTACTGTCTCTTTTATTAATCTATAACACTGTCTGTTTGCTTTTATTTATGAAGAAGTAGTAAAATTATCCTTTCTCAGATAGAGCATTGTATACTTTTCATTCCACAAGTCCAGAACTATTAAGACAGATGTATTCCTTTCTAACATTCCCCTATTCTGTATTGTTTTCATCTTTTGTTAAACGTTTAAAATGCTAATAATGCTTAGAGATGGCTTGAATGGGTAATGAAGATATCTATATACACCGTTTCATACTGTATATAAATATATATATATCTGTGTCAGTGTAAACTACTTGTACCTGATGGTGACAAAACCTTGCTGAAACGTTGTACATTTGCTGTTATGTTAAACTTATATTAAAGTTTTTCTTCATTACCCATTCAAACCAACTCCAAGCATTATTAGTCTCAAAGTGGGTTCCTCGTTATCAAGTCTAAAATGCTGGTCTAATTGTAACTAAAATCCTTTTTTTTTTTATGTTTAATGAACACTAATCTTATTGTAACAATAATTTTAATATTGTTGTGTTTACTGAACACTAATATTATTGTAACAATTTAGTTTTTCATATTTTTGTGTATAATTAATATTGTAATTAATCCTTATATCTCGTGACACACACACACACATTACATATTAAATTGTGCATAGTCTTTGTGCCTAACACTTTTGAGCCTGTGCTTGGAATAGCATGATCTGTAATTTCGAGACATGTTTTCAAGCTTTTTTTTTTTTTTTCAACTTTATTATCTGTAAGAGCATCTTTTGCATTTAATAATCTGTACATACTGTAGTGTTGAGTGTGAAATGATGGAATGCTGAGAAGATTGAAATCAGAATATTCTGTAACAAAGTATGACTCTGTTTTATGACAACTATTTTCAGGTTCCTAATCATTTTATTTGGTTGATCTTCTTCTACTGGTTCTTCCATTCTTGTCTGAATGCCATTGCTGAAGTTTTGAGATTTGCAGACAGAGAATTTTATCGGGATTGGTGGTTGGTTTCTTCTTACTAACTCTACAATAACTTCTTCTTGTTTAAAGAAAATTTCAAACTAACATTGAAAGATAAATGGTACCGTGTAATTATATGATCTTAACTTTATACAACTTATTCGTGTGATAAAAAAAATGGTAAGTAATTATGCAAAAATAAAAATTGGATAAATCTTTTAAAATTATTTTCAATGAAATAAATAACATTGGGAAAAAGATGGAAGAGTGAGAAAGTGAAGATAATACTTCCTGTTAGGCTGGAAACCAATATAAAGTTATGAAAGATAGATATGGATAAATAAAATTATGATTAAATGTAAAAAAAAAGACTTATTTACCAACTCTGAGAAGAAAATTGCCAATTAATTTGTAATTTTTTAAAACAAGAATACACTAATAACTTAAAGAAAGCTTTGCGTGTTTTCAGGAAACTATGTATATATTTTTAAAAGAATATTTTGTATTAGGTTTGTCACATATTCTTCTGCTATTGTGGTTATCCATTTTTGCACATGTCCCAAAAGCATGATTAAACACAAGACCTTTTATTTGCTAAGCTCATGGTCTACGAACTGTGCTAAAGAGTTAACCCACAAGCACTTGCGAGTAAGGCACTTTATCAATTCAAACTACCATTCTGTCTTTCTGGGCTATAATCAATATACAAGACAGAATGATCCAATAGTAAGTTAATGAAAATTAATGTTATGTTTGATGTCATGCAGGGTATTGTTTCTTTGTTTTTGTTACCACTTAACATTGACCAAATCCAAACAGCCATGTTCAATCTACTTTTGTCAAACATTGTTACTTGATTTGTGTAATTTTGATTAGCTTCTATTTTCTAAAAATCTAACACCAATCAAAAGAGTAATACTGGTGTGATATTAATCTTCTTACTTGGGCGAATCTAACACCAATCAAAAGAGTAATGCTGGTGTGATATTAATCCTCTTACTTGGGCGAATCTAACACCAATCAAAAGAGTAATACTGGTGTGATATTAATCCTCTTACTTGGGCGAATCTAACACCAATCAAAAGAGTAATACTGGTGTGGTATTAATCCTCTTACTTGGGCGAATCTAACATCAATCAAAAGAGTAATACTGGTGTGGTATTAATCCTCTTACTTGGGCGAATCTAACACCAATCAAAAGAGTAATACCGGTGTGATATTAATCCTCTTACTGGGGCACTTAACACATTCCAATTGAGAATCTTTTTCAACTACATTGATGAGTAACTGTATCTAAAGTTCTTACAACCTTTAAGAGAAAACATTGTTACAAAATCAGCCAAAAAAAATATTCTGTTCATTTTATTTATTTAAAGATTTGTATTTTTTAGAAACACAGAAACATCTTTTTGATCTTCAATACTCTGAAACCTCATCTTGCAGTGATATTTTAATATTCTTATCCAGGGACTTCTAACTGGCACCAAAAGATTTAATATAATTTTGTTGTTCTTTATCTTCGAAACACATTTTCAGCTTGTTGGTTCAGTTAACATTTGTTGTAGGACAAGTATTCAACTAGTTTGTACATTAGAGGTAACATGTATTACTTCAGTCTCTTGTGCAATTACTTTATAATGTTTAAGTGGGACAAACAGGAAATTGATGATCTGTATAAAAAGAACATCTTTATTATATCAAACTAACAGTACCACAAAATTGGTACTACCCATTTTCTAATTATTTCACTTCCCATATACTTGTTTTCATTTTCAAACCAATATATTTAAATAATGGACAGTAATGCACAACAGAATTTCTGTTCTGTGTTTTCTCTTCTGTTTTTTAGCACAACTTTGATTACATTTTGTTTTTATATCGTGCGAGACCTCCACCAATAAGGAAGTAGGCCATTTCTTACAATTAATTAAATCTCTTTACTTGAAATACGTGCCTCTCACAGTTCTATCCTCTATTGGTTTCCAGCCAACCAGAAAGTCATTTTTAATATCCAATCTTTTCATAATGGAGTGCACCTGGCTAAAATGTTGATAACATTAGAATGTTTTTGAACCGTTTTTTTAAGTATATTATCAAGAAAAAAATTGGATAAAGAAAAATCTTTGAGTATAACCAAATGACATCATTTCAATCTTGTTCTATGAGTTTATACTTAGATTCATCACTTATGTTTATGATATATTTTGTGCTGAACAGAGTGGGTTCTTTGTTACTAAAAGCAACCTGCTGACATATAGTTTTGTATTTGGAGGACACGGTGAGTATCTAGCTTAGGTTTAATGCTATAGCTCTGTTATATAAAGTAAGGTTAGCATTTATATTAACATAATACAGTAAGTTGTCTTTTGCAAAAGTAAAGTACTTAATATAACAATTCATCAAGGTAAGGTATGCCTAGTTTTTTTTTATATGTACTTATAGAAAAGACAACTAAGTAGTTTGATCATAACATGATAAATGAAAAACTGTCCATAATATGATTGCATGTAATATGGTAAAGATGTGTTTATGTACTAAACTTACATATTTATTTCACAGAGTTTTATGTGATGTTTTATATTCCGATCAGAAACCTCTCTCACTTTAGTCTGGCATAAGAAAAAATCTAGTAATTGAACTAGTCCTGTGCTATTGTTTGCTTCAGTTGCCAGAGTAATGATTGCACATGTTTCTGGAGTTGCTGTAACAACCTTTCCAAAACCATGGCCAAATTTAAGAAGAAAAAAATTATAATTATGTAAGATGCATGAATATCCAGTTGTAAAGCTTTAAGGTGCATGAATATCTAGGCATAAATCTGTAAGATGTATGAACGTTTGAGTATAAAGTTGTAAGATTCATGAGTATTCATTTCATATTCATGCACCTTAAAGCTTTACAATTAAATATTCATACACCTTATATTGTTTCCTAGGCATAAATCTGTAAGATGTATGAACGTTTGAGTATAAAGTTGTAAGATTCATGAGTATTCATGTGAAAGAATATAAGGTGTATGAATATTTAATTGTAAAGCTTTAAGGTACATGAATATCTAGGCATAAATCTGTAAGATGTATCAACGTTTGAGTATAAAGCTGTAAGATTCATGAGTATTCAGGTGAAACAATGTAAGGTGTATGAATATTTAATTGTAAAACTTTAAGGTGCATGAATATCTAGGCATAAATCTGTAAGATGTATGAACATTCGAGTATAAAGTTGTAAGATTCATGAGTATTCATGTGAAACAATATAAGGTGTATGAATATTTAATTGTAAAGCTTTAAGGTGCATGAATATTCTGGTGCAAAGCTGTAAATTGCATGAATAAACAAACCTTTTATAAAATAACATCAAACACATTAGATTTGAAATAACCTGACCCTATCTAAAAATACAATGGGAGCTATAATTTCACCTGTGCTAGTTAATAAAATTGAAATATAAACTCATAAAATAGCTTGAACTTCATATGTACTAAGAATTTCCAAGTTATTCTGCTTCTACTGTTTGGTAATACTAAAATAATTCAAATCTACTCGAAGAACAATAAAATCAGAAGACAATAAACTTGAAAAATCAAATTCTTATTACAATACTAGTATAATTTATTGTTACTTCATTAACAGTAATGGTGAAACTATTTAATATATCAAATGTCATTGCTTTCTAGTTTTATTTTTTTATGATTATGCTTTTATTATAAAGATTTTTATGTATTGTTAGTTTGGTATATGTATTTAGTACTAAACTAACTCTTCTAAGCTGCCTGAACATCATGAGATATTTTTAAGGCCAAAAGTGTTATTAACAGTGAAAGTACTTCACTAATGAAATAATGCTATTTAATCTTTATAAGTAGAAATTGTAAGAAAAGTATATTTAGTCAGCTAAGCTGATTGCCAGGTTGATTTTTAGCTTTTCTCTAAGTACATAGCTTGCTTTGATTGGAAGTTAATATTATTATTATAAAAATAAAATAAATCTTGTATAGAAATAAACTATTCCGAAAACTTAAAGAAATTTATATTCAGTTGTTCTTTAACCAAGCAAATTTAGAGTTATATTTAGGAGTATAATTTCATATGGATGTTATTTTGTAAGATTGAACACCATCTTTTTTTTACATAAGCTTGACTTGTAGAACACCTGAACATGGACATTTCTTTGCAAGATGGAACTTTATTTTTCTATACGATATCTTACCTCTACTCACAAAAAGCTTTCTTGACTTATACTGCCCTATATTGGTGCAAATTTTCACTCGCTACTAGCCTTGATACTCCTATTATTTCTGCATACTAGCACGCAAATAATTCTGCAGCAACCCTCCACCAATAGGAGTATGACACTACCCCTATCATAACTAGTGCCCTCTCTAATCTTGCAGCTGTTAACCCCTTCTTATTGAATAGAAATGTTTTCACTTGCAGTTTGATTAATTTATCCATAAACTTTTACTTTCTAAATTTTTCTGCTTTTATTGCATTGTTATTTACTGTTTTCATTTTCTTTTGAGGAGTGTTACGAATTATTTTATTTATCTTCTCTCGTCTTTCAATTTCATAACTTCAGCACTCGCAGTTTCAGGTGACACGACTACAAAGTCTGTTACTGCAGCAGTGGAATTATTGACCACATCCAAAGGTCGGAAACACAATTTTCAGCCCATGAAATGACAGCTATGATCCATCAGGAATTGACCAATTTCATGCAACAATCAGAACAAACTGATGATTGCCCTATCATAGTTTTCAGTGATCAGGAAGTTTTGTATTTGGACAGTCTTTTTTCCCCCACCTGAATATGCTTCTCAGTCATGTGTCATTTCTGGGGACTTGCTCAGCCCTCTTTCTTCTTTAATTGATTGGATTATCCAAGTATCTTATGTTCTGTCCTTATTTTCCATTCCTATATTCCATCCCTACCTTTCTCAGGGATAAGCCTTTGGGTCATTATTTTGTGTTGGAGTTCATGAGAGTCGTTTTGGGTAGTATTTGTATATGGTGTCTCTTCTCCCTTAGTGGGGATCAGACCCAA